GAGAGAGAGAGAGAGAGAGAGAGAGAGAGAGAGAGAGAGAGAGAGAGAGAGAGAGAGGGGCTGCAACCACAGGAAATTTGCCTCCTCTCTCTCTCTCTCTCTCTCCCCCCCCCCCCATGCGCGTCTTTTTGTTTTTGACCGTTTTCTAATGTTTTCACATCTAAATTCCCTTTTTTTTCCACGTGTGTGATGCCTGGAAGCAGGGAGCCTGCTCATTCAGCAACGACCGGACCTTACCTTGGCCGACCCCCTAAGGCTGCGGTGCATTAACGGGGAAGGCCCGCGGCTGATGTATGGCCCAAGTACTGGTGTTTTAAACCACCAGTACTTGGCCCAGCTATCGGCCGGGGAAAAAAATAGAGTAGAAACGTTTCTAGTTGGATGAATTTGGGCGCTCCTGTAGTGGCCTGTACGTTTCCTAAAATTGCGTGGCGTTAACGCTATGCGACTTTAGGAAGTACTGGTGGTTTAACAGTAGCTCCAATCTATTGGTGCGGAGTCACACCTGCTGGAAAACGGATCCAGCGTCCCTTCTGCACATTGAGAAGAAAGCCAGGAATGACTGTGCCGGTAAGCCGGAGGGTTAACTGCGCAGCTGATATTTTGAGGGTTCTGTCCTGTTCCACCATTGTTATATTGTCGTACGTGCCTCTAGAGTGATGCCCAGTCTCCGGAGGGGCACTGGAGGTCGGGTAAGCTCAGGGTGTGGGGAAAATGAGAAGTGTAACCGATGTGGGGGTAAGATTTTGACTCAGAAAGGTGCGGCCTGGACACCCTTTAAGGAGAGAGGGTGGACATCCCCCCCCAAAAAAAAGGAAAGAAGGAAGAAGAAAGGAAAAAGAGAAGAAAGAAAAAAAGAAAAAGAATGAAGGTGGAAAAAGAAAAAGGAAAGGAAAAAAAAAAAAGGGGGGGGGGGAAAAACTCAGTCCGTCCTTTCCTCAACCAGGGCGAGCGGGTGTGGAGGGAAGGGGTCTGGGAAGTCGGATGGGGGGCGCATTGGGAAAGTGGTTCCTATAGTCATCCTGTTACATGCTGCGCTTGCACACGCGGGCCATTTTCCAGGCCCTGCGTCCTTCAGGCCAAAAGCCTGAATTTCAGACCGAAAGCCTGAAATCCAGGGCTTACAGGCCCCATGTCGGTTCAGCCCGAAAGCCTGAATTCCAGGGCCACAGCCCCTATGTCGTTTCAGACTAAAAATGGCAACAGCCTTTATAGCCTGAAACGAAGGGCCATTTTCGGTCGTTCATCAGAACGACCAGCCCTGAAACTCAGGCACCGAACCAGGGGTTCGGGAACAGGCTATTCTTAGCCTGTTCCCCACGCCAGCCTCAGCAGGCTGCTGCACGCCAGCCCCTGGCACACTTCAGCATTGGCAAGAGCTGCCTCCTCGGCCTGGCTCGCCCTTCAACAGTCAGGAGGCAGGCCGAGGTAGTGCATAGGGACTTCCCATGCACTTCACGGGGAGGCAGGAGGCAGTTGTAGTCTTCAGGATTCGGGAGCAGCACTCTGGAGGGAGCGCTGTAGAGTAGTAGTAGCGCTAGCTTGTAGTCTTCAGTGCTGGGCGCAGTAGGTAGCTGTAGTCTCCAGCGCTGGGCGCCATAGCTAGGATAGCACTAGAGAGAGAGAGAGATTGGGCGGAGGCCAGAGGTACTCACCTGCAGCGCCGTTGCTCCAGCTTCGTCTTCGAGGTACCTGCAGCACAGCGCCAACATCACAGGTCAGTATCTGGCTCGTAACAGTGAGAGAGAGTTCTTCTTCTTCCTCTTCTCAGT